CTGCTCCTCTGATGCTGCTTGGCCTGCTGTGTTCATCCAGCTCTACACGTTGTTATCTCAGATTCTCCAGCATCTGCAGTTCCTACTATCTCTTATTCCTCATCTTTTGTTTACTTAATATTCTTTGATACACAAACTTTTATTCATGAATTCTGCACATGATGATTAATGTGGCTTTGATCAAGAGATACCTGCTTGGAATAAGTAGTTGTTCCTCTCCTAAAGGCAATGCAAGTTGGAACTTTTCCAGAAGCTTTATGTATTGGGATATGTAATTCTGAGGGAAACTGTGTTTCTGAGAGAGGAAGTTCTCAACATCTGATCGATAAATAATTCCACAAGGATGCTTTGGAAAACTTGCTGCTTTTACGGTCACAATCTAAATTTCAAAAACAAAATGTTTATATATATTTGTATATTTATATATATTTATAATATATTGCAGCAATTCTACATGAAATCAATCTAATTTTCAATCCAATTTTTAATTTAATAACTGATTTAATTAGACAGGATCACAGTGAAGTAAGCCAATACATCCCTGTCATGTTCACTCTAAATCAGAGCACATTTCAATAATCATATGAGAACTATACAACATTACACAACAAAACAAAATGAAATTCAGGCATCCAGACTTTTTAAGTACTCAGAAATACTTTTTCTTTTTTTTCCCATTTTTCCTCCTTCTTATGATTTTAAAGAAAACTTACCTTAGAGTGGCTAAGAGCCAGAACAAAGCAGGCTGGAAGCCTGGAGCACTGTAGAGCAGCTGACAGAGTGGAGTGGGCTGGAAGTATGGAACAGTGTGATGCAGGGACGGTTGTTAGACTGGAGCCAGCGCAGGTGGTCAGTGGCTTCTGAGGCTGGTCAGATCATGTGTGGAAGCCCCTGCACTGATTTACTGCAATGTAATGTTTATCTGTAATGTATTTATCTGCCTGTAAGGTTTATCATTTTAAGTATGTCTTATTTCTGACTTATACTATGAATCAGTGTGAGGTAATACAATTTTTTTTTATTCCTTATTCCTCTTTTTGTATCTAAGATTTGTACCTAGGTACCTTGTACCTAAGATGGCACCATGAAAGGTGACATTGTAAACTTTCACTGTACTCCTGTACTTGAGTACACATGACAATAAAATCTATTTCTAATTCTAAAAATGCTACAAGCATATGCATTTTTACATATTATTGCACTATTACTACAAAATAGCACAGAACTGGAAATTTATTTAAAAAAGGATTTTTTTTTTCCTTTTAAATTGCCCTGGTAGGGAGCGTGAATAATCGAAGAAATCTGTTTTGAGAAAAAAAATTAAGAACAAACAAAATTCGAAGATTAGTGATCCTCACAGAAGAAATTCCTCTTCATCTCTTAAAACGGACAACTGTTCATTCTGAAACTTACCTCTACTTTTAGGTTGTCCATAAGGGGAAACATTTCGCATAAGAGAAGTATCAGGTATGGTCTTTTTTGTTAAACATGATGATATTAACCTCCAACACATTCCTTATATGTTCATACATCATTGATAGCTAATGTGACAATAGTTATATGCAAACCTACAAAAATTAACAAATAGCCTCTTGACAATGAATTCAATGGATGTTACTATTTGTATCAGCTTTCACAAATAAAACTGTGCTAAGGTTTTCTTAAAATGCAAGATGATGAAATTATATTCTGCAAATATTACTGTATTACTATACAGCAAGTGCTTCCATTAAAGTAGCAGACAAAGGAGTTTCACAGTCTGAACAGGATTTCATACATCATCGATTGTAGTGCATAATAAGGCAAACACATCTGATGATTGTACCTGTGCCATCATCTTACACAACCACTGTGGGTCTACAAAATAAAGATCCCGTAGGTGAAGAGCTGGGTCATGAAAATGCAGTAGCACACCTGCAGAGAGAAAACACCTTCAAAATAGTGCAATTATTAAAACTTGCTTACAGTGCTAAATCATAATGAAAGGTAAATACATTATTTGACTTTTGTGTTGCAATATGTTGCAAAGCACTTTTGTTGTTTATTTTTAAACCTCTCAATAAAGTGCATCACTTAAACCAGGGTACTTAAACCAGCATACAGGTGCATAAGCAGTTGTAACCTTTTCAGTTTAAATAGGTTTAAATAAACACGTATATTCCATCTAGAAGGAACCCTTAGTAATATATTGAGCTTCTTTTCCTTTCTGGTAAGTCTATCATTTCTGCAAGGACTAGTCATATGGCATCATAATTCTCCAACAGGCATTAATGGTAAAAGTCAAAGTAATACATTCAACTGAATTCTCTGACCATTGTCAATGGCAGTTAAGAAGATATTTGTATTTTTTTTCCCTCTCTGGTTGTACCATGTGTTATTTTAGAATCGCCAGTGATTACTGATGACAAAGAAAATTGTTCCAAAGTGCATCATGGACACCCAGAGAAAAGCAATGGACACCACGTCACAGACAAACTTACTAGATGAGTTGAGCAAAAGCTCAAAGAGGTGGGCTTTCAGGAGCACAGTAAAAGGAGAAGGCAAAATAGAAGAAGTTAGGTAGGAATTCTAGAGGTCAGGGGCCTAAGTGACAATTGTCAGTGGACTGCAGCATGCTGTCAGCAGTCAAAATCAGAAAATTATCCTCATTGTTTTCACAATCATACTCTTCTTGAGGGAAATAAAAAAAAACTACTTAATGAAAGAGATAGATGAAAACTACTTGATTAACTGCACTAAGGAAAAGGAATGTCTAAAAAGAGAACTAAAATGAACATACTGCTATAAATATGGTTTATTAAAAAAAATCAGTGAAATCTGCATATAAATATTCATCTATTACTGGAATAAACTAGCCTTGTTTCTTTTTGAATGGAAATAAAAACCTCCCCTCTTACATATGAAAGACTATTTAGGCAGAGTAATTATTCTCAACAGATCATTTGATTGTTGGTACAGGCATTAAAGACATTTAAATTTTAAAGTACCAGACTCATTGAGGAAATGAACAGCATGGGGCAGCTCATTTTCATCCAATTGCAAATGATTCTCTTGAACTATTTCCAGCAGCCGTTGTTGATGAATTACTGGGAATTCTGATAAAACAGTCTTTCGTTCCTGTATAATTCTCTTTTCCAACTCCATATAACTACGAGGAATTAGCTGACCCATTACCAGCTGGTCTCTGATCTGAAAAATATTGTTTGAAAATAGGAACCTTGTTTTGTCATGTCAGAAGGTACCATTCATGCAACAAGAAAGCAGGCGATAATATATTTAGAACAAATAGTATCAAAGTCACAAAAACTTTTAAATTTATAAATTTAAATTTATCTGCTAGCGAAGGCCTATCGATTGCAAAAAAAGTTCACTGTAGTTTTACTCCTAATCATTAACGTTTAAAAAGCTCTCATCACGCAAAAATGCTGCATGTATCGTAATAAAGATGATGCATACAATTCACTCATAACTGATCCCACAGATTTGTGGTAGCGACTTCACTATCAATTTAAATTGAGCTGGGTTCTAATCCTTAACCTTAGAGGATGATTCAGACTGTAATAATAGTAATAATAATAACTTATGGAAAATGACTTATGAAATTAAATATGACTTCTTTTGAGACCTTTCTTCCCTGATCTTCAGATTCCCTATAGAAGGTAATTTTGCATCAAAGAATCTGAGTATGCAGCCTGCAGTGGCCATTATGATAAATATAAATGTCCCTGAACCCAAAGATGACTATAAATCACATGAGCTTCATTCTAGTAATTCATAATTTACTACAAGATGTCTTGCAAGTTAATTTGCTTTTGTCTAATTATTTGCAGGGATCCACTGTTCCACAATTAATTGCACAGTATCAGAAATGCAAATCTTTTACTTTAGCAAGTAAAAATAAGGGACATTCCAAATCGGAAGATTTTTCATAACTCTAAGTAAGTGAATGCAGAAAAAAATGAAACAGTATGGAAAATTGCACCCCATGATAAAATAAGGCCCTCTGCAGTCACCTTCTGGCATTTAGTACATTTGTTTTAGATGGACTACAAAGGGAATGTATCTGCAGGAAGGTTATTGGAACACAAACTTTATAGTAACCAAATAATATTATTGCTGAATGGTTGTGCAAAGACCAATGAAACTAAGTGATATTAATTATGGAACTAGGCCCAATGAAAGCATTGAGGTTTGAGAGTCTGGTTAGTATCCTTACACATACACACAATTCCAGTCTTTACAACACTTCTTTTGTGCACCTTGAAAGTCTGTATTTCACTAATAATAGCTCTACGCAGTTTTAAGAGAGAGTCAGATTCTTCTGTGGCCACCACAAAATGGTAATCACGGATGGGAGGAAAATCATGCTGCTGAAGGAATTCCATCTTAATTTTGGATATGCAACTTTTTTGGTGCTTTTCATCGGTCATATCAACGTGCGTACCGACAAGAATTACAGGACAAGATGAGGCACAGGCCTATTAATAGAAACAAAAAACAAAAAAAAAACTTTAAATATATTAGAAAACAACAATCTTAATTAAAAAAAACAAAAAATAGACAGTGTCTGTCCTACACCAAAGTATGTGCATAGGTAACATTCAAAGTGTATATTGTGCAAGAATACAATACGAGTTAACACAAGAATTAGAGTTAAGATCAGTTGCAAAAAGTTACGATTTCAAGATCTTTTATTTTCTCTTATATTCAGCAAAACAACATGTGACATGTCCCAGTTTCTTCTGTTCCTTACAGACTGCAATGTAGAAAATCCTGTGCCCACTGACAATTTTATTTTTACTTGCACACAAAGAATCATCAGTGGAGTTTCAGGTTTGCATGATTTGATTTGGTTAGGGTTTGGGTTAATGCTCTTTCCTCCAGCAAGCCAAGTTACCGAGCATGTACTGGAAAAATTGTTTGTGTGAAAAATACCATACTTTTTTGCTACAATTCTTAGGCTAAGTGCAGGACAGGAATCTTCAAGGAAGACTGGGAGATGTCATGATTGTGTGTTAATTAAAGTGGGTAATTAATGGTTACATAAAGGTTCCTCTCATAAACAGTGGGATATTAGCCAAGGGGGCTGGGGTGACCAAAGCTGTGTCCCTGGCAAACCTGTGGTCAGCTTGGAATATGCAAGGGCCTCTTATTTGGACACTCAGTGGAGACCGCCCAGAAGGTATTTCGCCTCAATCCCACCCGGTCAAGCCCAATCACTATGAACTGCCAGTGGGCCTGCTGGAAGAACTGGTAGTAATTTGATTGGCTGTGAGCTTCCAGAGGCAAGTCTCCCTCTCTAATGATGGTGAAACTCCTGCCTCAAGCCAAGAAAAGGCTCCAATGCCCATTAAATGGCTCTGGGGTAAATTAGCCAATACAGGTGCATTTACTCCTACTTTTTCCATCAAGGAGGCTGGGACACTGATTCCTGGGTAAAATGCAGCCTAATAGATGATAGTAACTATTTCGTCAAGTAATCCACAGTAAGAATACCACCTGCAAGCAACATGACAAAATATACAAAGTATGCGAAAATGACAAAATATGGGAATATTGACAGTCCTCTCATACCTTTATGTTGAAAAGCCAATGTTTGATTGCATCAATTTCACCAACTCCTTTACTAAGGTCATAGACAACAAGGTATAGGGCTCGCGGAGACATAAAGTGGGGATGCGTGCTGTAGAACTCTTCTTGGCCTTATAAAAATAAAATTGTATGATTATTTACAAAGAAAATTGCCCGGTTACATTTCATGCATGATTTATAACGATGAAGGAGGTGGAATATCTATGCATGAGCCATGGAGTGCTGCTGGGTGAACAACAGCAGAGAGATGGAATGCAATATGGTCTGTATTGTGGCAGGAAACGTCACATGAAGGCACAGTCACTGACAAAGACCATTCTCATGGCACAACGGTCATGCCCTCAAGTCCAGATACCAAGATTTACTTCCTTAGCCATCTGCTCCCAATTCATTCCGAGTTTGTCCCTTAAAAGCTGAGAACAATGGTATCATCCTGCACTAACACGAATTCCTTCAGCATCAAATTCATCACACAGGACCCTCATCCTGCCCGTATTTATTTCATTTGTCATGTTTTAAATTGCAACATTACTATTCAGTGCAGTTTCTCTTGAAGAGGGACAGACTGCTTTTAAGAGCTCAACAGTGCCAAGCACAAAGCAGCCAGAAGTGAGTAAGAATCAACTTGTTCAGAGATGTTATTGCACATCTAAAGCAGGTGGGACTTGAACGCAGTCCTCCTGGTTCAGGTGTAGGGGAACTACCAGTGCACCACAAGAACTCTTGAAGTGACAGACATGCTTTCCCCTGTGTTAAGATCTTGGCAATGAATTGGAAACACCAAACTTAGATGCTTTTCGACTCTAACAGAGGTGTAGGCATGTCACAAGTCAGATTTTAGCAGGTGAAGTTTGATTGAAAGGAACAAAAATAAAAAGCTGGATGTTTAAAGTTTTAGGAAACAAGCCTCAGGAAAAAACAAACAGTAATTTACCTGCAAAATCCCAGACACTCAACATATATTCCTTTCTCTTCCCTTTCTTTTCTTTTACATGAATTGGCCACTCCTTAACATCAATTCCAATCGTGGCTTTCTCTAGACCTGAATTTGGTTGCTTGCATTTCATTAGCTGCTGAAGCAATGTAGTTTTGCCACTACCAGCATTTCCCACTATCATAAGTTTCATTCTGTAATAAGGCACAGCTTTCTTCAAGCGTTGATGCAGAAATCTAAAAAATGAGAAAGGTACATAAGAGAATTTTACTTTAAAAAAATCAAGGCGCAATCAACTTATATTGACCCCAAAACTGACTCAGGGTTGGGAATTAAATGGATAGTGGGAACTGTGGAATCACAGGGGACAGGAAATCTGTACAGGTGCGGCACAGTGGCTCAGTGTTTAGCACTGCTGCCTCAGTGCCAGGAACCCAGGTTTGATTCCGCCCTTAAGTGATTGTGTGGAATTTGCGTGTTATCCCCGTGTCTGCATGGGTTTCTGCTGGGGTGCTCCAGTTTCCCCCCATAGTTCAAAGATGTGCAAGTTAGGTGGATTGCCCATGCTAAATTACCTATAGCGTTCAGGGATGTGTAGGTTCGGTGTGTTACACAGGGTTACAGGGATAGGGTAGGGGCAAGAGTCTGGGTGAGATGGTCTTCAGAGGGTCAGTGTGGAATGGTTGGGCTCAATGGCCTGTAGGGATTCTATGGAAATCACCATAATGGCTTGACCCTACACCAATTCCTCACCAGTTCCACATTAAAGACTGATGAAAATGCTAGATCGAGTGCAGTAAGGAAACAGATGCAGTAAGTGCTAACAACTGATAAATAATTTCTAGCCCCTGAAAATAAAAATTACAAATGTGGTGCATCAATCCCTCAGAAGAAAATTCATATTGTACACTTATCAAAAAAAAGTCCTCTCTTATAATCTGTTCCATATGGATCTTTTTTGCCTTCTGTACAAAGATTCTAATTTCATTAACATTTCTTGTTTTCTGCTTCCACGTTGTTAGCCTTCACCTCTCAGTAAGGAATTCTTTAAAATCTGATTGGTTTGAAGAGTCTCTTGCTGCTGGAGTTATTTACAAACACCTGCAGCCCCTTAGAAGGCTGCCACTTTGGATCAGGCATGTGCTGGAACCTCCAGTGACTAGCCTGTGAAAAGTTTTTAGACAACTATACATGAGGTGTCACAGCCATTTCTTCAACACACACAGCAAAACCTGAGCCAATACACATTAATGTAGAACTAGGGTTCTTAATTCTAAATCTGCATGAGTCTACTCTAACTGCAGTTTGGCAAAACGTTCCATTGCACTCTGACCAGAAAACAGTGATTAAATGTTCTGAGGAAGAGTCACCGGACCCAAAACGTTAACTCTGTTCTTCCCTTCACAGATGCTGCTAGACCTGCTGAGTTTTTCCAGCAACTTTGTTTTTGTTCTTGACTTCTACAAAGCTTTGACTTAGTAAGGAATTACTAAGCACCCTAGAAGCAGAAGCAGAAGCAGTCTCTCACACTCACACACACACACACACACCAGTCATTTTATACCCGAATGAAACAATAACACAATTGGTTTTTTACTTTCATATTTCACATGCTTCCAAGCCTTGGTAAACACAAAACCGTGTCAGGTAATTGTCAAACAGCATTGAGATACTGTCACACCTACCTGGGGGAGTGCATTGGAAATCAAACCCTGCAACTCTGGGTGTCATCACAAAGCTAAAGATTTTTTAAAAAGTTCACAATTCCCAAATTCTTCCACAGGCTTGCAAGAGACACGAGATGACTGATACACTTATAAGAAGTCTTAGGTTATCAATACAATAATACAGTACTATATAGCACAGGAACAAGCCTTTCAGCCCACCAAGCCTGCGCCAATTCCTAGCCCTTATTTAGGCTTGCTATTTATTGCGATTAAACATCACAACTTACATCAACTGGTGAAGGAAAGATAAACTGGTCATCTTCAGATTTAAAGGGGATTTTGACTGCATGTAACAGAGAGACAGCTCCTGAACTGAAGGAGATCTGATCTAATTTGATACTTCTCTGTATCTTGTTCCCTGCTGCAAGTTATTCAGCCACATGAGAACTAAACAGAGTGTGTTTGGCAGGCAAACGACCTTTGTCATCGATAACTGGTCACTAGTTCATAGACTTCTTGTTGCCAACCAGAGCTCCATCTGTATACAGAATCCTTGCCCCTAGTTCATCTGCAACCTAATCATCATTTACTTGTCCAAACAGCAGTTGAAATGAAGCTTGCCATGAGCATCAGATTATTTGCTTTAAAAAATAGACATCAATCACAGAGTCATACAGCACAGAAACAGGCCCTTCAACCCAACTTGTCCATGACAAACCTTTAAAACCTTGGTTTTAAAATAGTTTTTTTCTCATTTCAGACGACGATTTAAAAAAAAATAAAAGACAAGGTCTTTACAATACCTGCACAAACTCCTTTTCATTTTGAGAAACTGGCACAAAAAACTTTGTTTGTATTTTGAAGGAAGTAAAGTTTATCACCTTATGATATCTTTTGTTTTGCTGCCCACATGTTTTAAATCCAAATCCAGAAACAGCCCTTGTAGTTCAAGCTCCCACAACTTATGCAGCTTTCCCATTTCATTTGGTAAGGATCTCAAGTCAGAGTTATTACTCAGGAGTAATGACATCATGTTTTCTAGCAGACCAATTTGAGGTGGTAGCTGGAAGCAACAGAAATTAGATTGCAACTGATGCTTTGATACATCTAAATAGAAAATCATTTAAAACTAAAAGTGTGAAAAACATGAATATGGACAACCATATCAAGGCACAGACTTTTAAAAATAATTTTCTTTTACATTTCTATCATGCTGGAAAGATTTTAGAAAGATTCAATAAGTAATTGAGTAACAGGTTATTTATTTTACAGTTTATAAATATAAAATTCAAAATTTCACCTCCTTCAACTTGTTATTGTTGAGATTTAGCTTTTCCAGTCTTGACCATTTATTCACTCCTTCACTCAAATCCAAAACACTGATTTGGTTATGGCTAAATATCAGCTCCCTTAAACTTGAAGACTCCCAAAATAAAGGCCCAGGAAGCTCGGATATGTTATTGTGACTTAGGTTTACGCTCCTTAAACTAGTAAGAAAGTGAAGACAACACAGAACTTTCACTAAAAATAAAGTAAATTTACGGCAACTGATCGCAAAAAGATCAGAAACAAGTCTAATTATTAAATTACAGAATTCCCAAATATTCATACGAGTTTTCGGTTTCCGTTCAAAACATTGAGCTTAACTCAACATATGCATCATTAAATATCCACAATTTAAACACAGCACTCAGTGTACAGTATATGGTAATGATTAAATGGTGACATAATAGTGCATCAGTCATAAGACCAAAGAAAGAAGAATTTACTAAACTTGTCGTTTCAAAACCATGTTTAATACCACTCTGTTATGTAACTTGAACACATAAATTCTCTTCAACTTAATGGCTCAACAAAATAACACAAAATTAATGCAATGTGTTTTGCGATGGAAGTTTTTTGTGATCAACCATGTGTTTTTACATGTGGCAATGTGACATTTAAAATCAAAGTGTCACTTTCTCAGGCTGCAGTTGTAAGCTTTTTCTCCTCATTTAATCAATGCTATTTAGAAAGCCAAGGGAACAATGCATGACTTAATACAAGCTTCATAACTAATGTATTACTTACATGAACTGAGAAATTTGAGTCATACCTTTTAAACATTGTAACTGTACCTGCATCCACATCTCTGGCAGTTCATTCCATATACGAACCACTCTCTGTGTGAAAAAGTTTGCCCCTCATGTCCTTTTTAAATCGTTCCCCTCTCACCTTGAAAATATGCCCCCTAGTTTTGAACTCCACCGCTTTAGGGAAACAACCCTTGTCATTCACTTTATCTATGCCCTGCACGCTTTTATAAATCTCAATAAGGTCACCCTTATCAACCCGCTCCACACTCCCCACTAGCCCCACCACACCCGACACCTTTCCCTGTAACCGCAGGAGGTGCTATACCTACCCCTACACCTCCCCCCTCACCATCCCAGGCCCCGAAAAAACCTTCCACATCAGACAGATGTTCACCCGCACATCCGCTAATGTGGTGTATTGTATCCGCTGTTCCCGATGCGGCCTCCTCTACATCACTGAGGCCAAGAGGAGGCTCAGAGACCGCTTTGTCGAGCACCTACGCTTGGTTCGCGACAAACAACAATACCTCCCAGTCGCGAACCACTTCAACTCCCCCTCCCACTCCCTGGACAGCATGTCCATCCTGGGCCTCCTCCAGCGTCACAATGCTGCCACCCGGAAACTGGAGGAGCAGCACCTCATATTCTGCCTTGAAAGCCTACAACCCAATGGGGTCAATATGTACTTTACTAGCTTCAAAATCTCCCCACCCCCGGCCTCATTCCAAGACCAACCCTCCCTCTCATCCTCGCCTCCTTGACCTGTCCATCTTCTCTCTCACCTATCCGTTCCTCCCATCTCACTGACCAATTGCCACCACTACCTATCTGCTATCACCATCCCACCTACTTACCTTCCCCAGCCCAACCCCCCCCACTCTATTTATTTCAGAGCCCCCTTCCCGTCCCCCATTTCTGAAGAAGGGTCCCAACCCGAAACATCAGCTTTCCTACTCCTCTGGTGCTGCCTGGCCTGCTGTGTTCCTCCAGCTCCACACTGTGTCATCTCACCCTCCAGCACTTCCTCTTCTGTAATGTGTAATGTGAACTATTTTCAAAACATCAATATTTATTTCCCCAAGTTCTCTAGCCTCTATTTCTTTCTCAACAGTAAAAACTGATGTGAACTATTCACTTAGTATCTCTCCCAACTGCTGAGGCTCAACACAAAGGCAACCTTGATGAATTTGAAGGGGTCCTACTCTCTCTCTCTGTGCTCTCTTGCTCTTAATATATTTGTAGAATCTTTTTGGACTATTTTCAACCTCATCTGCCAAGGCTATCTCTTATCCCCTCTTGCCCTCCTGATTTCCTTCATAAGAATGCCCCGACACTCTTTATACTCTTCAAGAGATTCAGTTGGTCCCAGTTGTTTATATCAAATGTATCATTGTTTTTTTATTCTTTTATTCTATTTTTAAAATTCTTATTATTTCAAAAGTGCCAATACAGTTGGGTCATTTGAAAAATGTGCATCATCAAGTTAACAGCTAGGAAAGTTTTTCCCAAAAAGATAACCAGAAAATATTATCAAAAACGTTACTTATGCAAATGAACAAAAAGCAATAGAAGTTCATCAGGTTCCATGATCCACGTGCTACTTAGAGTCATAGAGCTGTACAGCATGGAAACAGATCCTTCAGTCCAATTCGTCTATGCTGACCAGATATCCTAAATTAATCTAGTCCCATTTGCCAACATTTGGCCCATATCCTTCTAAACTCTTCCTACTCATACCGCTCCAGATGCCTTTTAAATGTTGTAATTGTACCAGCCTCCACCACTTCCTCTAGCAATACTTGAAGCTCTTCATGGCAGATGTGGGACTGACTACGGTGGCACCAGGTTAAGGATCTAGATTGGTAGGTAGAGAAGGGAATGGGCAATGAAGATAGGGAAAACATGACCAGATTGGAAACAAAGTATATAGTCTTGAGGAAACACATCCAGGTGTCAGGTGAGTATTCCAACAGTACACAGGAGTGTAGCACAGAGATTTGGGCAAAACATGGAGAGAACCAAGGGAATTAGAACAACATCACCTATAGCGCTCAGTGCTGTATAAGGTCGAAGGGGGGAAGCAGCGACAACAGAAAAGATTGTTTGGAGCAAGCAACGGGTTTCGAGAACACAATTCAAAATGCTGAACCTCAGGATTTGGGGCCACTTGATGGAACTGGGCAAATCCATCAATACAAATTGAATCAAACTGAGTTGTTTAACTATTTGAAGTTCCCAGATATTGTTACATCATTAATTTTTGATGATGTTACACTGAAAACATTCCAGGATTCCAATCTCCCGGTGGGAGTTGTGGTGACTCATCGGCAGCAGCACATAAATTATGAAGTGGGAAGGTCAAATTGAAGAAAAGGGAAAACCCAAGCCGCAGGTGTCTATGAAACTGAAGATTATTTAAAGCAAGTTACTGACTCAATTTTCAACAGAACCTGGCTCAATCCAATTTTTACAATTCAGATTTTGAAACTTTGTATTTTGTTATGAATTGCATTTTCAAAAGACGAATATAGTTAATAAACTGTAAAAACATGTTTGTTCAAAAACTGAAGACCTTTGATTATTTGCAATGGTCCAGAGTGGTGCAAGAACAGTGACTTGATGGCAAAGGGGTACCAGGTTAGAGTGCCTGGGATTGAAGGGTCAACATTTGGGCGGGAAGGACCAAAGCCCTGCTTCCGTCCCTTTTTCCTCACCACACATCTTCTCAAAACACCCTCCTCACCCATGAGGTCCACACCCTCCATCATCCTCCTCCAAAATCCCACTCCCACTCACTCCAAAACCCTCAACCTAGTATTTTTCCAACACACCCTGACTCTCTTTTTTCTCTCACCCACTCCCAAGACTCTCTGTTTCACCCACACCCCGTCTCTTTCTCTCTCTCTCTTCCCCAACACTTCAAACTCTCACTCTATTGCCCATTCTTCCCCTACCCTCAGTTCCTTTCTTTTACCCCCAACATCCAGTCTCTCTCTCTACCCCATTCCCCCAGATAATCTTTCTCTCTCATTTTCAAACCACTGCCAACGAGGCCCTTATCAAGCCATTAATCCAGAGGCAGGTAAACCTGCTGTGATGCAACATAAACATTAGGACAAACTGTGTGGGCTATTCTTCACTTTTGGGAGGACGATGTAGGAAGTACCTCAATCAACGACAGCCAGTGACTGACTGAGGGACTTGATACTGAGAATGCTAAGGCCCAATGAAAACATCCACATACTTGCTGTTGCCACCCAAATCACAACCCCTACCCCTGCTTCCCCCGGTCCACAGACCCCACTGTGCGAATCCCACACTTAGACCAGTTTTGGTCCTCCACGATCCTGGGACTCTGGGGCAAGGACATTGTGATCATTACAGCAGCAGCTACAGCTTCTTTCATGGTGCTGCTCTATACAAGAGCTGCAGATTTCCAAGTGGCTAACAGCTCTCTAGCCAGGAATTGTTCCCTAATGGAGGAGGTGTGAGAAAGCCCATATTTACCTGATGAGCGATATGTTTCAGCAGGACTTCCTGAAAATACATGCCACAGGTCTCTTGCTGGCTCTCCATTAAGCAGGAGAGACCCATGATGTCTCAGCAAGATTCCATCCAACATTTTAAACTTGTGTTTGAATAAGTCTTTCATTTCAAATTTGGCCATGTCTGTCTGTTGCCATTTAGTGAAAATAGCTAACAATGAGGAGCAAAGTGGCATGGTGAAAAATTACACATTGCTGGAAACCTAAATCAGACCACACTGATAAAATGAAAAAAATCTTCTTTGGAAAATGTCTCAGTTCTATTAAATTAATTTAAGACTCAGCTAAAATTCTGACAAGAATTATTTCCAAGGCTCAATCAAACATAATTTAGAATCTCAGTTAGTGAAGACTATAAGGACAGTTGGAGAAATTTTGAGAGAAAAATAAATGTTGCTGTGGGGAGTATACTTCAGAGACTAGATATTGTTCAAAACAGAGTAATGTGATGTTGCTGCAAATTCTGGTTATATTTTGCTTGACTTAGAAACACTTGATGTGAAACATCAGGTCATAAAACAGTCAACTCTCGAGGATAATATCTCTCATTCTGATGAGCACATATATTCATTCCTGCACTCAAACAGGATATAAAGCAAAGTTGACAGACTATGGCACATACTGTTGAAGCTTGAGAACTGCTTCAGGAACTCTGTCGAACTTGTTGCTGGCCAAATCAATTGTAGTGATCTTTGACGGCAAACCTGACAATGTACCTGTTAAAATGAAATAGTCAATTAGAAAACCACAGAACAAAAGTTACCAGGTTGAATTTTGTTTGTCAGTGATGCAGAATCTAAACCCAAGTCAAAAAGAAATAATAAAGCTCAACAGGGAGGAAAGTCAGATTTAAAACATTTCCAAGTCCAAAAGAAGGAAAAAAAGTTAATTTTCTTACGATGCAACATTGTTGTGAACTGTTACTGAAATAATATAGTTTAAATTCAACAAATGAAAATTGTAAGATCATTGGAGAAATAAGGTATATGCTGATTATGAAACATAACCATAAAATTTATATTGACACTGTTTCACTAAACTAAAATGACGAACTATTTCTGCAAAGTCCAGCTGAAAACAGTAATGTCCTGAAGGAACATATCTTTCTATTGCAGATCCTGTCTTCTATCCAATGAAAAAAAAATTCTAAATGTGAAATTCTAGACAACAAAAACATTTGAAGTTTATTCCCTCCACAAGTCTCTTGCAAGTTGTTTCACTATAATTCACAGAAGTACTTCATAACAGGATAACTCCACAACAAATTTGCAAATGTCCATTTCCTAGTAAGTCTGGGGTATAGTTGTCAGTTTCTGATAAATTCAAATTACATGCGAAGGCTTTTTAAAACAAACATTCTTATTAGTGTCACTGACACCCCAAACACAGCTGAAGTTTTAGAGCCTCCTCATAGATCTGTAAGTGAGCATAATTAATTAAACAAACAAAAGGATAGGATGTGTGCCAACAGAGTTTAATGTTTGATGATAGTATAAGGTAGGGGTGGAGATTAGATAAACCTTAGGTTTACGGTAAAAGTTCGGCACAACATCGTGGGAAAAGGGCCTGTACTGTGCTGTACAGTTCTATGTAAGAGGCCTGGTTTTAGTGCCTTTTTTAAAACCAGCACAAATCATCATGAAAACTCAAGTTGTGCTGAACTTGAGATTTTCCAAACTTTGGCCTTGGAAGTCCACAGAAAAAGCCCAAAACGCTCAACAGAAATTTTAGGTATCTCTCATTAAGAAATTTGTTGAGAGGCTAAAAATATGCCAAAGTCGGCAGAAATCCCCACCCCCCAACCAAGACTTTATTGGTGTTTTCAAATAATATCTTCAAACAAGCTTTCCCATTTGCAATAGCTGGATTTTCTATTCCTGAGAGAAGCCTGAAATATAAAAAGAAACTGTAGGAAATAAAGGCAGCAGACTGGCTTTGTAGATTTATTACCTTTAGCTCAGCAGTAGCATTATTGACTCTAACTCAAAGACTTGGGGCTCAATTTTCCCGAAAATCAGCTGTGCATCAATTTTGGTAAGTTTCATGGAGTGTCTCCCTCCAGGAGTTCTAGCAACTTGTCTAATGCAGTCTAATGCTACTGATCTCATTAAATATACACCACTCTTACCCTCAACAGTGGTGCAATGCTTGATGGTGGGTACTGCCAGCATTCATGCTGCAGGCACCATATTTAAACTCCAGTTTTGCTCTATGTCAAATGCTGCCAGCCTGGACTGAAATAGCCACCCCGGTCGGTGCACTGCCCATAGTCAATAGGAATGCACAGCAACACTGCAAGAAAGTTAATCACATTCTGCACTCCGCGAGGATAAGTTCCACCATGTTCTCTCTGCTACCTCACACACACTCACTCACTCTGGCACTGCACCCGCCTTCCACAAAGGCTCATAGACTACCAATCACAACAGCCTATACAGCATTTTATCTAAATAGCTTTCACCCACACCAGTCCCTAAAATCTTCCCGACCTCTGCACTTCCTACTTAATCGGGATACCTTTCCTAACTGATAAAGGAACAAATCCTAGACTGACCAGAGCTCCCCATCGAATTTTCACTGCTGCCAGACGTGATAAACTGTCTGGCTCTTTACCTGTGTTAACAGTCAAGGCAGAGATGTCACTGTCCAAGTGTATGCAAACTGAGTGAACATTAGGAAAGCAAGCTGAGAGCCCCGCATTTTGCTTTGTTCCAATGCATCAGATGGATGCCTGTCCTTGTGGACAAAATAGCCAGGCAGCAGCATTGCAACATACAGTGTCGGTGAGCTCCAAAATGTAGCATTGCAGTGTTGAACTGCATCAAATGCGAGTCCCAAAAGTGCTAAGATGAGGTGGTAAGACAGGTGTTTTGCTGACATCAAATGTCCATGGACACAGGGTGCAAGCAGTCACTGCCCATGGAGTGTACCTGAGGTGTTGGGGAATGTTGGTTAATATCGGGGCTCAGAAAAGATACTAGTGAGCTGTAGCCACCAGACACCCACACTGATGTTCATCTCAGAATTTGGTGCCATTTACTTTCTCTCTATTGGGAAAATAGCAGCCTGCATTTGAACGAACCGAGATTAGATAATAATGGGATGCTAATGCACTCAAATCGGGCTCTCACTGCTCACTAGTGAGATTCTCATCCAGCCATGAAAACCTTGGGTGGAAAACTGGATTTTTTTCCTTGATTTTGAGAATTTCATTTTCAGTGCTCACCATATTTTCACAACTGACTTGTCATTGACAAAATAATTCAGGAGCTGGGAAAATTCGAGCACATGAAACGTGAGCACGTATAAGCTGATTCTTTAGTGTGGAATATAGACGTATTGCTTCACAGCAGAGTTGTTTTTCTTTTAGATGAGACACTAAAATCAAGTTCTGACTGTTATCACTGGTGGATCTAAAAGATCTATGACATTATTAGAAGGAAAGATACTCATTCCTGTGCCCTGTTCAATATTTATTCTCTAACCTATGTCATTAAAAATAAAACTGTCTGGTTATCATCTCATCACTGTTTAGAACATAGAACACAGAACATAGAACAGTACAGCACAGTACAGGCCCTTCAGTCCACGATGTTGTGCTGAACTTTTACCCTAATCCTAAGGTCTATCTAACCTCCACCCTCACTTTATACTATCATCCATATGCCTATCTAATAGCTGTTTAAATGCCCCTAATGAGGCCGATTCCACTACCCTCTCCGTCAATGCATTCCACGCCCCTACCACTCTCCGAGTAAAGAACCCACCTCTGACGTCTCCCCTATATCTACCTCCACTCACTTTAAAATTATGCCCCCTCGTAATAGCTACCTCCACCCAAGGAAAAAGTCTCTGGCTATCCACTCTATCTATACCTCTGATCATTTTGTACACCTCTATCAAGTCACTTCTCATCCTTCGTCGTTCTAAAGACAAAAGCCCTAGCTCTCTCAATCTTTCCTCGTAAGACCTTCCCTCCATTCCAGGCAACTTCCTGGTAAATCTCCTCTGCACCTTTTCCAACGCTTCCACATCTTTTCTGTAATGAGGTGACCAGAGCTGGACACAATACTCCAGATGTGGCCGAACCAGGCTTTTGTATAGCTGGAGCACAATTTCACGGCTCTTGAACTCAATCCCTCTATTGATGAAAGCTAACACACCATACGCCTTCTTAACAATTCTATCCACCTCTGTGGCAGCTTTCAGGGAACTGTGGACATGAACCCCAAGATCCCTCTGCTCCTCCACACTGCCAAGAATCTTTCCGTTCACCCTGTATTCTGCTTTCAAGTTTGTCCTTCCAAAATGAATCAACTCACATTTTTCAGGGTTAAACTCCATCTGCCACTTCTCAGCCTAGCTCTGCATCCTATCAATGTCCCTTTGTAACCTAGAACAGCCCGACACTGTCCACAATGCGACCCACCTTCGTATCGTCCGCGAACTTACTAATCCACCCTTCCACTCCTTCATCCAAATCATTTACAAAAATCACAAATAGAAGAGGACCCAGAACAGATTCTTGTGGTACACCACTCGTAACTGAGCACCATGTTGAATATTTTCCGCCCACTACCACCCTTTGTCTTCTAAGGGTCAGCCAATTCTGAATCCAAGCTGCTACATTTCCCCCTATCCCATGCCTCCTTACCTTCTGCGTGAACCTACTATGGGGAACCTTATCAAATGCCTTATTTAAATCCATGTATACCACATCCACTGCTCTACGTTCAGCCATGGGTTGGTCACCTCTTCAAAGAATTCAATAAGGTTTGTGAGGCATGATCAACCCCTCACAAATCCATGCTGACTATCATGAATCAAACTGTGCCTTTCCAAGTGATCATAAATCCTATCTCCCAGAGCCCTTTCCAATAATTTGCCCACATTGACCTAAGACTAGCTGGCTTGTAATTTCCAGACTTATCCCTATTCCTTTTTTTGAACAAGGGAATGACGTTTGCCTTTCTCCAATCTTCCGGCACTATACCCGTGGACAGTGAGGATGAAAAGATCTTTGCCAAAGGCCCTGCGATCTCTTCCCTCACTTCCCATAGAATCCTTGGATAAATACCATCAGGCCCGGGGCACTTATCTATCTTCAAGTTCCTCAAAATTCCTAGTACATCTTCCTTACAAACATCCCCTCCTCTAGCCTACCAGCCCGTTTCACACTGTCCTCCTCTACAACTAGGTCCCTCTCAGTTGTGAATACCGAAGAAAAGTATTCATTAAGGACCTCTCCTATCTCTTTACGCTCCGTGCACAAATTCCCTTTTACAATCCTTGATCGGCCCTACCCTTTCTCTGGTCATTCTCTTATTCCTCACATACGTGTAAAAAGCCTTCGAGTTTTCCTTGATCCTATCTGTCAAGGTTTTCTCATGCCCCCTTATAGCTGTCCTAAGCCCTTTCTTCAGCTCCTTCCTGGCTAACTTGTATCCCTCTAGAGCATTTTCCGTTCCTTGTTTCCTAAACCTTACACAAGCACCCTTCTTCCTCTTAACCAGTCTTTCGGCCTCTCTTGAGAACCAAGGCTCCCTCACTCGACCGCATCTTTCCTGCCTGCTAGGGACAAACATATCGAACACACGCAGTGTGTACTCCTTAAACAATCTCCACATTTCAATAATGCTCTTCCCTGACAGCATCTGTTCCCATTTTATGTTACCCAGTTCTTGCCTAACAGAATTGTAATTACCCTTCCCCCAATTATAAACCTTACCCTACCGTTTGTACCTATCCTTTTCCATGACTATTGTAAAAGTAACAGAGTTATGATCGCTACCACCAAAATGCTCTCCTAGCAACAGGTCTAATACTTGGCCCGGTTCATTGCGAAGCACCAAGTCCAAAGTGGCCGCTCCTTGTGTTGGTCTATCTACATACTGTGTCAGGAATCCTTCCTGAACGCGCTGGACAAAATCTACTCCATCTAAGCTATTACAACCAAAATGTTTCTAATCAATATTTGGAAAGTTGAAGTCACCCATGACTACAACCCTGTGACTTCTGCATCTTTCCAGTATCTGCCTCCCAATCCGCTCCTCCACTTCTCTGCAACTATTAGGGGGTCTGTAAAAAACCCCCAACAAAGTGACTGCTCCTTTCTTGTTCCGGACCTCAACCCAAACTGACTCTGCAGACATATCATTCTCGAACTGCCTTTCAGTAGCTGCTATACTAGCCCTGACTAGCAATGCCACTCCCCTGCCTCTTTTCCCACCCTCCCGATTTCTTAATCCTGGAACTTCCAACAACCATTCCGGTCCCTGAGTTACCCAAGTTTCTGTAATGGCCACAACATCGTAGTTCCAAGTACTGACCCATGCTCTAAGTTCATCCGCCCTATTTCTGATACTTCTAGCATTGAAGTATACACATCTCAAACCATCTGTGTCTCTAATTATGCTCCACCAACCGCATTTCCTTATTAACAACCTCACTCCCTGTTGTGTCTGTTGGAAGGCTGAACACCCCATCCTCTGAATTACAAATCCAGTTCCCCACCCCCTGCCAATCTAGTTTAAACCATCCTGTATAGCTCGAGCAAACCTCCCTCCCAGGATATTTGTGCCCTTCCGGTTCAGGTGCAACCCGTCCTTACTGTACAGGTCCCACCTTCCCCAGAATGTGCTCCAATTATCCACAAAATGGAAGCCCACCCTCCTACACCAGCCCAGTAACCACGTGTTTAGCTGCATTCTCTCCCTATTTCTTACCTCATTATCACGTGGCACTGGTAGTAATCCAGAGATAACTACCCTGTTTGTCCTGGACTTCAGCTTCCAACCTAACTCTCTGTACTTGTTTTTCATATTCTCAGTCCTTTTTCTACCTATGTCATTGGTACTGATGTGTACCATGACTGCTGGTTGCTCACCCTCCCCTTTAAGGATCTTGAAGGCATGATCTGAGATATCACGGACCCTGGCACCCAGGAGGCAACATACCATCCGTTCATCTTGTTCACATCCACAGAACTGCCTGTCTGTGCCTCTTACTATTGAATACTATTGTTTGTGGGGTGCAATTTCCTTCTATGAAACTTGCTGCTGCAAAAGTTTCCAGCTGTCTCTAATGAGTGATATGCCCTAGACTCTTTTGATTTGACACCATTCAGCCAGAATATATAGACAGTTGAAACATTTTAGAATCACCTAATTCATATAATCAGTTCACAGGGAAGATAGAAACAGTATCTCTCATCCAATCTTAATGTCCAAACTAAATGTGCAATTACAGGCTGGTACATATGACTGCACTTTCTATAATCTTCCTAAAATCTTAAAGTAAGGAACATTCCACATATCATAAATACAAAACACAACTATAGTGAAGTCTCCAGAAAAGCCACAATGCAAAATTCACAAGGGCTTCAGTTGAAGTATTTCAGGCAGCTTTGAACTCATTTTGCTCATCTAAGAAATCAATCTTTCAAAGTCTGGACAGATAGAGAGAAACTCTCTTTTTGGTGGAAAGGTGGAGATCCAAAGGGCACAGACACAGATTTAAAGCAATTAGCAAAACAGTCATAGGGGATGTGAAGAAAACATTTTTTTTTAAGCAGTGTGAGATTATGATCTCAAAGGCACTCCCTGAAAGGCTGGTGGGGTTGATAGATACAATCCTAGCTTTCAAAATAAAATTGGAATAAACATTGAATGGGAAAATAAAATTGCAGGACTACAGTAAAGGGCTAGGGAGTGGGACAAGTTAAACTGCTCATTGAGGAAGTTGGCAGGATTCAACAATGCAAATGGTCCCCTTCTGTGCTGTAACTAACCAGCCTATAACTCTATTACCTTTAGTCTATGTACACATTCACATGAAGGAAACTAATTCCGCTTTGCAATTTATTTGAGTATACTTACTGAGATGATTTTCTGAGACTCTGAATGTATCTAGCTTTGAGCACTGCATCAAAAATGTATCCAGAATGTTGGAGATGCAGTTTTGACTAAGATCTAGTAGATTAAGCTCAGCCAAACACAGTGATGATACAAGTGTCCTCATTTTATTTCTAAAATGGAGAGAAAAATGTATTCAAATTAAGTTTAAATAAAGTTTACAAATCTACAAAATAAAACATAAAAAAATTAGCTCCACATTAAATATTGAATATGGAATAAAAACCAGCAATTGACTGTTATGATTACCCATTTGGTTGATGAATAACCTTTAGGGAAAGAATACTTTGCTTAGTCTGGCTTATGTGATTCCAGACCTATTCAATGTTACTCCATGTTAACTCAATGTTAAATAATATCAGATCAATAATCTGAATTCAATTTCAAACAATTCTGGGAATTCTTAAAGAAGCATCTATGCGGAGGCGGATTAGTCCACAATCATATAAATGTTATTGCCTTCCTGAATTTACTTCCTTGATCTTCACTTCAGAATTTATTTGAAATAAATGTAATATATACTTTGATACTGCAGCCACATGGAATTCAGTGCCAGCTCTGATGGAGTATTCTTTTCTCACAATTTAGTTTGCAATATCATCCCACTGACAGTAGAGGAAAACCTCTGACCTGGGTAAGAATATCAAATGTTATACAATACACAAAAAAAGAAAGAGTTTTTTTTAAATTTATGTTATTCTATTACAACAGTTTTTATTTATTCATTAAAGTTAGTTTGGGGGCATGTTAGCTCTGGTTTGTGATGGACAAGTGTATTGCAATGCAGAATCATGCCAACAATGTGGGTCTAATTCCCACAACGGCTGAGGTTAACACAAGGACTCTCGTTTTCAACCTCTGGTTGCCCTCAGTTAAACCACACCAGTTGTCTCTCTAACGTGAGTGCAGCCCTACAGTCTGTAGGATACTGATGACTTCACCTTTTTAGAATTAGATATTCTGGCAGAGCCCCCATTTATTACCAATTCCTAATGGCCCGAACTTGCTAGGTTTTAAATGGCCATTAACAGTCAATCACATTGATATATGTCTGAAATCACATAGGCCAGACTAAGTCTGTAGCTTTCTTTCCCTAAAAGGGTATTAGTCAGCCAAATAGATATGCACAAAAATCAGTTGTTGGTTTTTATTCCATACTCAATAAATTGATTTTAAATTCTCCAGCTATGGTGATGGGTCTGAACTCTTGTCTCTGATTCATTCCTTTTACATTTTTGCTGTATAAATGACTTGTACTCAATAATACAACAGAGACATTAGAAATTAACAAATAAGATAAATCTGAATTATGCAAATATTCCTTGATTAATGTTAGATCTTTTAACCAATAAAACAGACCTGATTGCAACTGATTTACCAATGCACCCATCTTTAAGGTTTTCTTCAGGCAGATGGAATTTTAAATAAAGGTTGAAATTACCTTCAACATGGAATGCATTAGGAAATAACTTAAAGTTAGTAGAAAATAATTAAAGCATATGTCAAAATGAAAAACAACGTGAACAAATAAAAATGAAACAGAGAATAAAGGACAACAGAAACATCAAAGCTTTTGGCATCAAGTCAGGCTATTTTGTGGTTAGTTTATTGGAAATTCCAGCCAATGTTAGAAGCATATTTCTTCCAAACTAGTTCTTTTTCGAAGACCATTCTTGGATCACAACACTTGATTGGATCATTCATCTGAATTAGGTGACTTAGGCCTGAGAAGCAAATAAAAGACTTGTTTGCCAGAGGTGATCAATTCATCAATCATCTACTGCATCATTAAAAGAGCCCTATAAAACTATGAAAACTAACACTTTTCACTTAAGCATGAGGTAACAGATGGATCTAAATTACAGGCTAAGCTCAGGAAGTACAGAGCTAATACAAATTACAGTGATGGGTGAATGTAAAGATTTTGCTTTTTAAGAATCTAAGTGTGAGGGACGATAATTTTCTCACATTCTGAAACAAACTTTGCACAAATGCTTAGACAAATCCGTTGAAGCTGTTAACAGCTTCGAAAAAGCTGACAACTCAAGCTATCTCGTTCAACTGATAAAGGTCTATGACTGAAACCATAGCTTTATGGCAATTAATCATGGGCAATTATTTTGTATGATTTTATGTTTTAGGATTGTTAATATTGCTTTGGGCTCACATTCCACAACTCAGTTCGTTGTCTGTCAAAAGTGAAATCCATTGATCTCATTCATGACACGGTGAATTAGTTTCTGCGCTTGGAGTGGGACATTGCACCATATCTTAGTAATGGCAGCATATAGTCAGTGGAGAGTATACTGTCAATAGCTTATTGAACTCCATTCATTAAATACATATCCCACTTTTTTTTTTAACCAGTGTACATCCGAAAGAACTTACTTGAGAAGATTGTTGAGGAGTTTATACCAATCCCTGGCTCTTTATCAAACTCTACATTTGCTTCCCATTGCCAATCATACTGCCATCAACACATCCCCATTAACTCACTTTCCTAGTCATCATCTGGGAAGCTAAACAGCTGATAAGCATTTTATTTACATTATTAAGAACATGATGGGGTCTAACACTAATCTTGACAGAACTTCATGGAGTGCATCCTTCAGCCCAACATCATGCTCATGACACACTTCCACTCTTTTAGTGAATTCCAGAGCCACTTTCAAGTTATACCAAGCATACGTTTTGCTTTCACTTGCAATCATATTGTTAGTGTTAGACAGAACTTTAGCAGTTATGATGCTTAAGTAACTAACAATTCAATTGGCAATAACCACAGTATGATTTAGCATACAGAAGAGTCTCTAAAAGCTTACCCTTTAAGTAATAGTTCTTCTAAATTTTCTGTGGCTTTATCAAGAGACTCTGGAAAAGAGGAGAGTTGATTTTGTGACAAATTCAATTTTTTCAGGGTTGGGCACGTGGAGTTCAAGGTCAGAGAATGGCCAATGCTGTTCCTGGAGATATCAAGGGACATAATGGACTGCATTTCCAGTACACATGATGGAAAAGAGGTGAACTTGTTATTGCTCATATCCAAATCTGTCAGACACTTGAGAATCTGAGGACAAAAATATAACAGCATCACAATAGAGAAATAATAAATCCTTCATCAAATCATAAATCCTGATTTGTTTTCTCCATTAGATTGTGCATTTATATCTGTGTCAGCATTTTGTACATTAACAAATGTGCTGATTAAATATTGACTTGACAAGTGTGCTAAATGTGTTTCATGTTGTCAACACTATGCCACTTTCTAAACAAATCTGTTGCTTCTTTAAGGAATTCTATAACCCAGCTCTCCAGCAAAATATAACACAACAGTGGCATGGGATTTGCAAAACAAGATTGCACAACATCGCACAACATCCACTGTTTCTGGTGCAGATAGTGTACAAATTTTATGCTGTCAACTAATTCAAACTATTATAGCAGGCTGCCAGAGCAAGTATACTATAGGTTACTGCATGTCCAATTGTGAGGCAAGTAAAAGTCAGTCTGCACACTTCAGGACAGACTGTACTCCTAACGGGGAGTTCACTGAAACAGGCACTGGAAATCATTCTATAACTGATTGTAAAAGTAAAACCTCTCACACCCAAATCTGCACCAACAGCCTCACACACTTCTCAATATGCCATACTCTTATTGTTCCAACACTGTTACACTTCCTTTCCTCTCGCAGAAGACATTGCACAAACCCAGGCAGTAACATCTTACTATCAGGCTGAGGGAACAGGTAAGATGAACAATATTCTGCTGGAGAAATGCTTGCCATAATGAGGCTGTGGTCAGGCCATGGGGCCAAAACTAGTGAAGAGGACAGAATCCGCATGGAGACAGTGCAACACCAATGTAACACACAGTTTCTCATGGAGCTTTGATGCTATTTTTACCAGAGTGGATTAGTAGCTGACATAGTATAACACGCTTGTGGATCCAAGAATGATGCAGCATTTAATCGGTTTCGATTGCCACAAAGAGTGCAGTCTGAATGTAGCAGAGGATGCCTTCACTACTGCCATTATAGGACTGAATGCATACAGGATGTCACACTAACCTAGTAATGTGCTCTCCAACTTATTAATGGCATACCTGAGGCATCATCCAAGGGACAGTGGTAGGAATTTTACTATCACAGCAACAGTCAGTTGAGATTGATCATGAACTAATCTGAAAGTGCTTGATGATCTTTTAAATATTGTTAACGAGGGTCATTCCTGCTGCTTCAGACATATTTAGTGATGCAAGGCTGATAGAGGGCATTAACTGGAGCAAGGAGTTCTGACATGGCAGTGCTGGCATGAAATTGAAATTATAGGATAACTGATCTGATGATCTGTCTACTCTGCATACTTCCAACAGATGCTCTTTGGATGTCAATGCTTTCATCAAAAGCATCCAACACCATTAGCACCGAGTGTGTGCATGCTGTAAATGCTATTTTAGGAGTAAAATAGCAGCGGTGGGACTGAGAAAAGGGAAGCTAAGAAATCAGACTTGGTGTCATTCTTTTACTTTAACCATATAGTGTTATTAAGACTACTATTTAATATTCATATCAAGTTCTACTCAGATATTCCAGGTTTTACAATAGAGATCGATAGAATGCAAATCTTCATCATTCATTTCTCTTCTGGCTTTTTCCATGTTACGTGGGTCATCAAAATAAACATAATCTTCATTGATTAAAATTGTCTGAAACAACAGAATGTAATATTAAAAAATTAGTTCTTACAGTACAGAAATGTTGTGAGAAACTTGTTAAGTTATTTTGACTTAAATCCATCTTTTGTAGTTGTTCAAGGTGTGGAGCAATACAACATGTGTGATTGATGGAGTTTAGGTGCTCCAAGTCATTTGCAGAAAGATCCAAGGACCAGATGAACTCTATCTCAGTAGCATGCTGCAACCAGTGGTCATTCCCACTTCCAAAAGAAGATCTTTTTGATGCACAATCTAGGATAAAACATACATAAACTTACAAATGTTGCACCAGTTACTTTCTTTACATTTAGATTTAGATTTTATTGTCACGTGTACTTAAGTATAGGGTACAAGAGTATAGTGAAAAGTGAATCATGTCATCACACATGGCCCCATCTTACTTTACAAAGTACCTAGATACAAAATCTTAGTTACAGAAATAGAAAAATAAAAGAAACACGTTAAAAAGTTTAGTACTATAGTTGTTAGCATAAAAGTAGAAAAATAAAGAAATTTAAGAGTTTCTCATGAATTTTGATAAAACTGAAACACAAGAGAAAATACATACAGTTCTGAAACCCCAAGCAACTCCAATTGTTTTTATGAAGCATATGCAGCCACTTCAAATTAATGTATTTTTATAGACACTAAACTTCCTCTCCCTCAAATCCATGTCAACCTGAGCAGATTGTTTTTTGCACTAGTAAAACTATAATATATTCAGGAAAAATTAATTGATCTTCAAAATGTAATTAATCTGCAAGGGTAAGATAAGAGAATAAAATCATAAACTATTCCTCATTTCACTTGACTCACTGCACTTTCCAAAGAATGAGCAGTTGTAGATACTTTCAAAAGTAAGTTGTCATAGATTGGAGGGATTCAGAGATGAGTTGAAAGAGTTATCCCAGGAATAAATGTTCCAAGTTAAAAAGACGATCAAGGTTTTCAAATCATGAAGAAAGTGTATAGTATAAAATGTATCTATGTTATGCAACTGAATTTTTTTTCTTTATTTATTAACAGGATGAAAACGTCGCTGGCTAAGCAGCATTTATTGCCCATCCTTAATTGCCCAGAGGCGAGTTGAGAGTCAACTGCATTCCTGTGGGTCTGGAATCACATGAAGGTCAGACCAGGTAAGGATGGCAGTTTCCTTTCCTAAAGGGCATCAGTGAACCAGATGGGTTTTTCCGACAATTGACAACAGATTCATGGTCATCATTAGATTCTTAATTCCAGATATTTTTTATTGAATTCAAATTCCACCATTTGCCGTGGTGGGATTCGAACCCAGGTACCCAGAACGTTATCTGGGTCTCTGGATCAATAGTCTGGCATTAATACCACTAGGCCGTCGCCTTCCCAACTCAGAGCACCGAATTAGAGGATAAGGTCAAATTTTAAAATGGTGCCAAACTTGTGGAAGGGCAGCTGATATTACTCACATATACATAAATTACATCACAATAAATACTTAAGTAGGTGGAAATAGCAGGGGCTCATAGAGAAAAAGGACAAATCAAGGAAAACACCTTTCTTGAAAAAAAAACAAATATTTGGATTATATCTCTGGTAAAGGCAATGGGAGCAAAAGTGTTGGAATAACTTATAGAACAGTCAACACAGCAATACTGATAATGAAGACTGTAGGTTCTTCCAAAATAATGAATTTGATATCTGCTAATTTGGAATGGCTTCATACAGTGTAAATCAAAGATCAGATTTGTAATTTTCATTACCTGGTTTATGAATTACATGAGAAATAGATCTCTGTCTTGGGTTAACTGCAGGCTCAACATCGTCAAGTGAACTCTGTCAGTAAAGTAAACTGGTTTAACATAATGGCTCAGAAACATTTGCATGAATTTAATTTAAACTATAAGTATGAATATTTTATAATCATCACACAATCATTTTTTTTCTGCACAGAACTTCTACTGCCCAGAAGTTATATTTTCTTATGTAACAACTCTCACTGGTCATCAAAGGTAATGCGTTATAAATATGTCCATTCTACAGACACTGTTGCTGTATTATACATATTCTGTAATATAGAACATTGGAGAAAGTAAAAAATAATCAAGATCATATCAGAGCTGAGGGGATATGCGATTCAGGAAAGGTTGAGAAAACTGAGAAGGCTAAGATTATTTTAAGATTATGAAAGGGTTTTTTTCTAATTCATTCACGGGATGAGGGCATCGCTGGCTAGGCAGCATTTATTGCCCATCCCTAATTGCAAGAGGGCAATTAAGAGTCAACCACATTGGTGTGCGTCTGGAATCGCATGTAGACCAGACCAGGTAAGAATGGCAGTCTCCTTCCCTAAAGGACAGTAGTGAATCAGATGGGTTTTTCCAACAATTGACAATGGATTCACGGTCATCATCGGATTTTTAATTCCCGATATTTATTGAATTCAAATTCCATGTTCTGCTGTGGTGGGATTTGAACCCAGTTCCCAGAACATTATCTGGGTCTCTGGATTAAACAGTCCAGCGATAATACCACCAGGCCATCGCCTCCACACACCCATCCCCCCACCCCAAAGGGACACATCGACACAGAGAAGATGTTTCCATCAGTGAGAAATATCAAATCTAGGTGCCATAAATATAAAGAATTGTGATCAATAAGTTCAATATTGAATTCAGGAGAAATTTCTTCACTCAAAAGTCAAGTCAGTCACTTTGATGCCTTTAAGGCACAACTGGATAAGCACATGGAAGAAAGGAATAAAATGATACACTGGTAAATTTAAATGAAGAGAGGTGGGAAGAAAATAGACAATTGGACCAAATAATCTAGTTCTGTGCTTTATACTCTACAGAACTATGGTTCCACCAAAAATATATTATGTATTGTCAAAAATATATTGTGTATTACGTCAAAATGTAAGTGCAGGAATTATAATGCAACTGAAGTATGGAAACCCGACTGATACATTCAAATCAAAACCTTCCCTTTCCTTCATTAAACATAGCCCAAAAATATTTGGGAATATACTCCAGCAGGAATTGGTCCTTATTTAAAGGGGGTTGGAGTATAAGATTAGGGAAGTCTTAGTGTGAATGTCTTGGAGGGACTTTGCAAGTGGTGGTGTTCCCATATATTTGTTGCCCTTGTCCTTCTAGATGCAAGTGGTTGTGGTTTTGAAAGGTGTTCTCCAAGGATCTTTAGTGAATTTCTGCAGTGCATCTTGTAGACAACACACACTACTGTTACTGAGTCAGTGATGGAAGGAATGGATGCTTGTGGATGTGGTGCCTATAAAGCAGGCTGCTTTGTCCTGGATGGGGTCAAGCTTCTTGAGTGTTACCGGAATTGCACTCATCCAGATAAGTGAGTAGTATTCCATCACACTCCTCTCTTGTGCCTTGTTGATGGTGAACAGACTTTGGGGAGTCGGGAGGTGAGTTACTCACTGTAATATTCCTAGACGCTGACTGGTTCTTGTAGCCATTGTATTCATAAAGTTTTGTTTTAATTCTTCTTTCATTCATTCATTCACAGAACGTGGGTGTCGCTGTGTAGGCCAGCATTCATTGTCTACCCCTAATTGCCCAGAAGTCAATGGTGAGTTCAATTGAGTTACTGGTCAATGATAACTGCTATGTCAAGGCATGGTGGTTAGATTGTCTCTTACTGGAGATGGTCATTGCCTGGCATTTGTGTGGTGCAAATATTACTTGCCACTTGTCAGCCCAAGCCTGGAAATTGTGTAGATCTTGTTGCATTTGAACATGGACTGCTTCAGTATCTGAGGAGTTGCAAATGGTGTTGGATATTTTGCAATCATTGGCAAACATCCTCACTTCTGACCTTATGATGGAGGAAAATCATTGATGAAGCAGTGGAAAATGGTTGGATCTGGGACACTATCCTAAGGAACTACTGCAGAGATGTCCCAGAGCTGAGATGACCGACCTCCAAAAACCACAACTATCTTCCTATGTGCCAAGTATGACTCCAACCAGTGGAGAGTTTGCCCCATAATTCCCATTGATTCCAGTTTTGCTGGGGCTCTTTGATGCCACATTTGATTGAATGTGGCCATGATATCAAGGGCTGTCACTCTTGTCTCATCTCTAGAATTCAGCTCTTTTGTCAATGTTTGAACCAAGGTTGTAATGAGGTCAGGAGCTGAGTGACCCTTGTGGAATGAGGCATCAGTGAGTGTTATTGCGGAGCAGGCGCTGTTGATAGCACTGTTAGTGACACATTCCAGCTTTACTGATGATCAAGAGTAGACTGATGCAGCAGTAACTGGCTGGATTGGATTTGTCCTGCTTCCGTGTACAGGACATACGTGGGCAATTTTCCACATTGTCAGGTAGATTACAGTTTTGTAACTGCATTGGGACAGCTTGGCTAGGATTGCAGCAAGTTCTGGAGCACAAGTATCCAGTACTATTGCCAGAATGTTTTCAGGGCTTGTGGCTTTTGCAGTAACCAGTGCCTCCAACCATTTGATATCATGTGGAATGAATCGAATTGGCTGAAGATAGGCATCTGTGATGCTGGAGACCTGGTATGAAGGAATTCTTATGAACTAGGGTTAAATAAGTTGGGATGTTCCTTATTAGAATTCAGAAGAATATGAAGTGATCTCATTGAAACATATTCCTCAGGGCTTTTAAGGGGCTTTACAGGGTAACTACTGAGTGGATGCTTCCCCTCACGGGAGAGTCTAGGACCACACAGCATAGTCTCAGAATAAAGGGACTTCACTTTAAGACTGTAACAAAGAGGAAATTCTTCTCAGCCTGTTCAGAGCCAATTCCTTGTTACAGAGAGGTGTGGGGACAGAATCCTTGTGCATATTTAAGGCTGATCAGGGGAATCAAGGATTTGGGAAAACGGCAAGAAAGTGGGCACGAGGACTGTTGGATTAGCGACGATCCTACTGTATGGCAGAGCGAGTTCAAGGTGCTGAACAGCCTACTCCTATTTCCTCTGGCTTAGCTGGCAGCAAGTAATTACAATTGGACCTACAGCAGCACTTCTTTAACTGGCATGAAACTGCTACAATTTTAATTATTACAAGTAGAATCTTCAAATTCACCATGTAAAATTACCCATTAACATTATCTATGACAACACTATAAATTATCCATTGCATTAAAAACAAAACGTGATTCCTACAATACTACTGTCAACAAATTTTGGAATCCCCTAAACAGTCAAGAGATAACTGATAGCTGTGACTTGCTCTGTGCAGAGTATTTCTGAAATGGTAAGAGTTTGGAAAGTATAGATGTATAGAGGGCCCTAGCTGTCCTTGTTGATAAGTCACTGAAGGGTAATATGCAGATACAGCAAGCTATTAAGGCGGCTACTGGAATGGTAATCTTTACTCCAAGAGGATTTGAGTACAGGAGTAGCAAAGTCTTGCTTCAATTGTATAAAAGGTTGGTTACCACACTTGGAGTAGTGTCTGCAGTTTTGGTCTCCTTAACTCATTAAGTCAGATATCATTGCCATTGAGGGAGCACAACAAAGGTTCACCAGTCCTGTTCCTGGGATAGCAGGAATGTTCTATAAAGAGATATTGGGCAAATGATGCTTGTATTCTCTAGGGTTTTGAAGAATGAGAGGTGATCTTTGAAACCTATAAAGGGATAGAGTAGATGCAACAATATGTTTCTCTTGCTCAGTGAGTCTAAAAGCAGAAGGCACAATTTAAAAATAAGGGGATATCACTTAAGTCCAAGATGAGGAGAAGTTTAATCAGAATTGTGAATTTTCAGAAATCTCTACCACAAAGGGCTCTGGTGGCTCAGTTTTTGAGTATATTTAAAGTTACTGATTGAAAGATTTACGATTTCCAGTGGCATGCAAGGTTATGAGGATGGGGTGAATAAAAAGCACTGAACTGTTTTATCAGCCATGATCATATTAAATTGCAGAGTGGGTTTGATGGGCTAAAATGGCTTACTGTTGTTCCAATGTTCCTATAATGTGTCTCAAACTTGTCCAGACTCAATTCTTCCCCTAATTCATTTGAATTTCTGTTTCTTA